CCATCACCATTTCCGGTCCGATCGGCAACAAAGAAAGTGGGTAGTGGGTAGGGACTAGGGTCCTCACTCCTCACTCCTCACTCCTCACTCCCGACGGATTCACATGTACACGTTAGCCCCTTTTGACGTGGGCAGTACGGGCATTGAGCCTCTTACTGAGAGATGAATCTGCTTTTTGTTTTTCTCCCAAGTCCTACCACATGTTTTTTATTTCTTTCGTCCACTGATTTCATCTGCTCATCATGTACGAATTGCAGCCAGGTTTTTTATTAAAGGAAATTCGGATAAAATGAAAATTGCAGCCGCCTACCCTGCCTTCACTCGTTCACCCAACTCAATTTGGGTTTCCATCCGGCGATGTTGAAAATAATAAAAAAATCGATTATCGTAGCACAAGGCTAGCATAAAAAATCAAAGCCTTAGATTTATTTTATTGGGAATCACGGTATCACTTCATGTGATTCGAGGTGGGATTGCATCAATACACCAAAGGCTTTGATTTTTGAATGCGGTGCCACGATAGATTAAAAGTATAAAAAAAGCTTACTAAACGCTTAAAAACACTATTAGTATCATCAACACCCTGCACCTCATCTTCAAAACTAGGGACAATTGATGGCACGTGGAAGGCCAGTGAGGTGACACATGGCCAAGTAAAGGACCACCATGTGTCTAGTGTCTAGACTCCCACTTGCTCAGTTTCTCTCTTTAGCTTGAGGGACTACGACCAACTTGTTTTATCAAGAAAACGGAGAACAATCATCAAATTCAACTCTTGTTGACATGGAATTATATACAAAACTTGTAAAAGTGACATACAAAAGACTTGCGAGGTGCACCCAATGTTGTCAGCCATCTGCAATTTCTTGTCTCAACCAACACAAACACAGAGGTAAGTCCACCAGCCACAAAATCCTATCGTTGTTTATCATCGTTTTAGATCTCTCTATTGATATTCATACTAAAGCCAACAGGTATGCCCAATAAGTAATTTTTCTTTGGTATAGTTTAGCTTTTATTGGGTATTTATAGTCTAGGTCTAGGATATTTTGGATCTGATTCACATACAACAAAGTAATAGTGTTCCACCAGTAATATTCCATGAGCAAGCATAGCACTTAACCCTTCTTGGACTCATTGCTGGTGTGGTTGAGATATAACGGTGTTCCACCAGTCCACTCGAAAGGGTTCTCTTGAAGCTATCTTTGATGGCAACTCTTTAACAACTTTTATTTGTTGAATCAAGTAATCAACATCAACTACATTTGCAAAACCATTGGATTAACAGTCATAGGGTTACATCTCAATTTTGCTATTATACAACAAGAGAATATAGTTAAACTTACATTCTAGATTTGAGAAAGCAACTAAACAAGGCACACCAATAGGTAGGAATTCAATAACAACTAAGAATAAAAAATCAATCAAAATATAAAATGATAAAAGATGGCTGTACAATTTCTTTCATGGTCCACATCTCATAATATTTAGGATATCTAAGTCATAATTATTTTACAACTCAACATTGTATGTTTTATAAATCTATGCTTGGCTTGCCAAAAATTTAAGTTCACGTTCCCAAACGCAAAATCTATATCCACAAAAAAAGTGTGTATCTTTGTATTTACTTCTTCCTCCTTTTTAACTTTAGGCTGTGTTTGGAAACGATGCAAATATGTAGAGTGTAAATCAGTTCATATAAAATGTAAATTTGGTTAGTTTTGCACTCACAAATTTACCTTCTTACCAAACAGACTTTTAGCTGTAATGGATGCAAACACGAATTCCAATAAAACATATGTTTTCTTTTCTTTTCATCAAAAGCCCACTTGAATGCAAA